GGGGGGGGGGGGGGGGGGGGGGGGGGGGGTGGAGAGTGAGGCTCTTACGCTGCAGCAGTGGATGGCCAGGAGCAGGAAAGGCAGTGGGCAGTCATCCCCTACCAGGGTTCGGAAAGCAGGCACATCCAGGCCAAAGTCCTGTGGGGACAGAGAGGAGGGGCCTCCAAGTCAGCCTTCCTTGGGTTCTCTTTCCGCCCCCCAATCAGGACCTCAACCTGCAGAGAACCTTCCTTGGTTATGAGCCACCTAGTATGGAGTTCTCCTTCCTTTTAAAACCTAGAGATGTTTACCTCTGTACGGGGTAGGTAGTCAGGGTCCGCAGGTACTCGGGCGATGAGCTCACAGAGGACAATCCCAAAGGCAAAGACATCAGCCTGAGGGTAGGAGATAATAATGTTAAGGGGAGAAATCACAGTTATCATTTCAGAATTTCGCTAGAATATGTCAGAATTAGTTGGGGGTGGGTGGGGTGGAGGGATCAGACAGTTTTCATTTGTTGGAAGGTGCCTGTGAGGGCCTAGGGGGATCTTGAGGGCTCTTGAATATCTGGTAGGGTTGTTGTTGAGGTGGGGCCTTATGAGAGTATCTCAAGGGTCTGTGGAAGGCCTTGGGCATCTGAAGGACTGATGTCTTACCTTCTCATCATACAGCTCACCCCGCAACACTTCCGGAGCCATCCAGTATGGGGAACCCACCACAGCCAATGGCTCCTTCCTTGCCCCTTCCCTGCAGGGGCAGGGTGGTTAGAAACATCCCATTCAGGCATCCTCCCCAGGCAAAAGGGGATGAGGTGAGCTCCCTCCCCACTCCAAGGGAAACGTCCCTGGGGGATTTACTCAGATAAAACTGGGGGGAAACCCAGGACATTTGGGGGGAACAGGGGTATTCACCTCACCTATACACAGGAATCTTTTCAGCCAGCCCGAAGTCACCCACGACAGCTGTGAAGCCTTGGTCTTCCCGTCGGACCAGACAGTTCTGACACACACATACAGCATCCCCACAAACACATTACCTTTTGCTCTCCGGTCTCCTGATATACGCCCCAATGCCCTGTCACTCCAGCCCTCCCTGATCTCCCAATTCTCAATGCATCCCAGTATTCAACATAATCTAACACTCCAAACCAGTGTGATACCAATCCCTTAGGGCACTTCCCTCACCCCAGTCCCCTGGCAATGCCTTGCCACTCCAACATCCTAATATAATCTATTATATCTATATTCCAACATTCATGGGCCAGTTACAACCTAATAGTCTCAACCCCCACTTTCATGCCCTCACCCATCTGGCCAGCCTACCTTGGATGTGAGGTCTCGGTGGAATACACCTTTGGCATGTAGGTACCGCAGGCCTCGAGCAATGTCCAGAGCCAGGTGGAGCCGGACAGGCCAGGATAGGGGTTCGGGGGAGCTGAGCAGTTGTTCCAGGGTCCCCCCATTCATATACTGGGGCATAGGAGGAGAAGGGGAACGAATGTCAAAGCTTCAGTCTGTATTCCAGGTCTTCCACTTATAAGCCAAGGGTCACTCAGGAGGATCGCAAAGGTCAGAAGGGTGATTCTGTGCTCTAGAGTTCTCCATTTATATTCTAGGGCTGTCCTGTCCAATACAGTAGCCAATAGCCGTGTGCAACTATTTAAATTTAAATATAATTAAACATTCAGTTCCTCAGCACATTGTCCACATTTCCAGTGCTCTAGCCTAGCTACATGTGGTTTAGTGGCTACTGTATTGGACAGCACAGATATAGAACATTTCCCCCTGCAGAAAGTTCTACTTGTTAGCACTGTTCTAGGGGATACAGAGAATGAGACCAGCTGAGGCCTCTTATATGTGGTTTGCCCAAAGGGAAGTTCAGGTAAGCCTCCCCAGGGAGGAGGACCTGCTGCCTCTCATAATTCTTCAGTAGATCCACCAGGCCTGCTGACCCCCTTTCTCCTTGGTGGGGTTCCCCCATTCCTGGCCTATCCTCACCTCTGTAAGAGCGTGCAGCTGCCCCTGGTGCACACAGACACCCATAAACCTGGAAGAGACGGGGAAGATGGGAGGGTTAGCTGTAAGAGCCCAGGCCCCCCTCAGTTCCCACTTTTCCCGCGGGATCTTTCCCTTTCCCTCCCGTGCAGCAAGCTGCCCAGCAAGAGGCTGGGCCGTTCACCTTAGGATGTTAGGGTGCCGGAGCCGGTTCATCAGCTGCACCTCCCGTAGCGTGTTGCCCCGGTTACTGGGGAGCCTGTTCATCTTCAGCACCATGACTTACCCTGACTGTCGGAGCCGAACCTGGGGGCGGCAGGGGCGAGTGCCTGGCAGGTCGGGCCCGGGGCTCGGCCCTCTTCCCCTCGAGCGAGCCGAGTCCCGTAGCTACAGCCTCCCGTCGAAAACTCGGTCCCGCCCCTCTGCCCTCTCTGCGGGTCCTACCTTGTAGACCTCAGAGAAGAAGCCGGCCCCGATCTTCTCGGCGCAGTGGAAATCGTCCACACGCGCCAGGCTGGACACGGCGCTGCGGAGAGCCCGGTAGGAGGAGGGGCGGCCCCGGCCTGGGCCTCCGCCCGCGCCCCCCGGACCCGGGGGCCCCTCCCCCGGCACCTCTCCGGGCCCCGGCCCAGGGCCCCGCAGTGGGGGCCGTTCCCCGGCCATGGCCGGGCCCCCAGCCCGAGCCTGCC